TGAAGAACCTTTACATAGACCAGGAGGCTGTCATTTGAACAGAAGAGGACACTGCATGGTTTAAAATAAGGAAGGGAGTATGTCAGGGTTGTGTCCTTTCATCATGCTTATTCAATTTGTATGCTGAGCAAATAATCTGAGAAACTGGATTATATGAAGAAGAATGTAGTATCAGGATTGGAGGAAGACTCATTAACAACCTCATTAACACAGATGGCACAACTTTGCTTGCTGAAAGTGAGGATGACGTGAAGCACTTACTGATAAATACTAAAGACTACAGTTTGCAGCATGGATTAAATTTGAACATAAAGAAAATGAAAATCCTCACAACTGGACCAATGAACAGCATCATGATAAATGGAGAAAAGATTGAAGTTGTCAAAGATTTCATATTACTTGGTTCCACAATCAACACCAATGGAAGCAGCAGTCAAAACATCAGACAATGCATTGCAGGGGGCAAATCTTCTACAAAAGACCTCTTTCAAGTGCTGAAGAGCAAATATGTCTCTTTGAAGACTAAGGTGTGCCTAACTCTGGTAGCATAGTGCCTAAGGCACTTCACTGCTAACCAGGAGACTGGCTGTTCAAACCCACCAGCCACTCCTCAGAAGGACGATGGGGCAATCTACTTCCATAGTGATACTGCCTTGGAAACCCAAGGAGGGGTCGCTATGAATTGGGTCTGACTCGACGGCACATAACAACAACAACAACTCAAGCCATGTCTTCTGGTTCCCTAGTGCTGCTCTGACAAGAATATACCACCAATGGGATGGCTTGAACAAACAGGAATGTATTCTCTTACAGTTTGGAGTTAAGTCCGAGTTCAAAGTGCCAGGCTCTAGGGCCTGGGTGAAAACCTCTCACCCTTGGGTTTCAGCTCTGCCTCCTGCTCCCCGGCCCACTGAAGCTGGAGGCTTTTTTTTCACTCAGACAGCTGCTGGCTGCTGAGGCTGAGAAGCCCAAGGTTGACAAGTAAAAAGGCACAGTCTTATTGTTACCAAACCATACAGCAGGCCATCCATTCCAGTTCATTGAAAGTACCAAAGTCAGCACAGCATGGCAGGCTGCTGAGCAACAACACAGCTACATGCAGGGTTCAAGCATGCCGTAAGCTGGAGACCGTTCCCTGAGGCTTCTCCTTATATACAGAAAGCAGACCACATCCCTAAGGCAGCTACTCAGCTGCTCACAGTAGATTCCACTGTGGAGCTGATTACCAGTTTCATCATGGGGAATAAGTACATCCAGCTGCCCAGCCACTCAACCAGGCCTAGCCAACTTGTCACACAAAGTTCACCACTACACCATGGTATTTTCAATTGCCTCATATGCATGTGAGAGCTGGGCAATAAATAAGAAAGTCCAAAGAAGATTTGATGCTTTTGAGTTGTGGTGTTGACAAGGAATACTGAAAGTACCATGAACTGACAGAAGAACTAACAAGTCTGTCCTGGAAGGAGTGCAGCTGGAATACTCTTTGGAAGCGAGAATGGACAGACTTCATCTGCCCTACTTTGGTCATGTTGTCAGAAGGGAGCATTCCCTGGAGAAGGATATCATGCTTGGAAAAGTGGAGAGTCAATGAAAAAGGGGAAGGCCCTCAACAAGACAGATTGACACAGTGGCTGCAACAATGGGTTCAGATATAGCAAGGATCACGAGGCTGGCACAGGACCCGGCAGTGTTTTGTACTGTTGTACATAAGGTCACTATGAGTTGGGGCCAACTCAATGGCACCTAACAACAACGACAACATCACCCTTTAAGAGCTAGTCTCAGCCTGATTCTCCAGATTTTGTTCATACCAATTTTCCAGTGTATACCCTCTGATCTTTTTGTGTATAAAAAAAGACTGTTCCCTAAATGAGCTTTTCTCATAATTATTTGCATCCATGTATGTTATACTTCTACTGACAATCAGCATTTCCTTCTATCATGCTTCTATCATGTCTCAAAGTCAAATCTCAAAGCCAGGATTTCTTCCTTGGCTTTTTTCCCCAAGCTTTCCTTTCAGAGTTAAGCACACACTACACTGGAAGCCTACAGTACCCTAGAACTACCTCAGTTAATGATTTTGTAATTGTTTGTTTGGCTTTTTCCCCCACCAAGAAATAAACTACCTGAAAGTAGAAATTCTGTCTCATTTTCATTTTTTATTCCCAGCATCAAAACACATAGAAATAATAAAATTTTAACAAAAATATAAATTAGTACTATATGGGCTATTATAACATTTCCTAATAGTAACAGTCTTTCTTTTCTTTAAAAAAAAAAAAAAAAAAGCTCCAAAAGCTAATTTTCTGGTTAGCATTAGTTTAAAAGCAATCCTTTGCCACTACCTGGGAAATAGGAAACCACTCTGAGAATGCCTTCAGAAACTGATGTGTTGGAATCTGTGTAGGCTCTTCACTCATTAATGAGCTTTTAACTTTTTGCTTACTAGTATAGAAAAGCTTTGATTTGGTCTGGATTTGTACTCTGACCATTGACTCAGCTGAACTGACTATGACTAGGGAAGTTTAGCAATTGTTGCCAAAGAGTACAGATTATGTTTTAGAGAATATTATTCTCCCTTATTTCAATACATATTTATTTTTTTCCAAATATTCTTTGATGCAGCATAGGTACAAAAATGAACAATACAAACTGTGAACCCTCATGAATGTAAATATGTTTAATAGTCATTAACATTTATTATAAGGAACTCAGAAGTACTATGTACTAAGATCTTCACGTATCTTATTGGATCTCCATAACAAATTTATGAAATAGGGATTATGTTTAACCCAAATTTTTATACTAAACTATTACACAACTAGAATTTTTACACTTTTCTGTCCTAACAAAGGTAAATACTTTTATCCTCTACTAGCATTGGTTTAAAATCAAGAAGGGAGTGCGTCAGGGTTGTATTCTTTCTCCACACTTATTCAATCTACATGCTAGGATTGGAGGAAGAATCATTAACAACCTGAGACATGCAGACAATACAACTTTGCTTGCTGAAAGTGAGGATGACTTAAGGCACTTACTGATGAAGGTTGAAGAATACAGTCTGCAGTATGGATTACGTCTCAATATAAAGAAAACAAAAATCCTCAATGAGCAGCATCACAATAAATGGAGAGAAGATTGAGGTTGTCAAGGAATTCACGTTGCTTGGTTCTACAATCGATGCCAACGGAAGCAGCAGTCAGGACATTAGACGACGTGTAGCATTGGGAAAGTCAACTGCGAAGGAACTGTTTCAAGTGCTGAGGAGCAAGGATATCTCCTTGAGGACTAAGGTGCGCCTGGCACAAGCCATGATATTTCCAATCGCCTCATATGCATGTGAGAGCTGGACAATGAATAAGGAAGACCGAAGAAGAGTTGATGCTTTTGAGTTGTGGTGCTGGCGGAGAATGCTGAAAGTACCGTGGACTGCTGAAAGAACTAACAGATCTGTCCTGGAGAAAGTGCAGCTAGAATGCTCCTTGGAAGCAAGAATGGCCAAACTTCGTCTCACCTGTTTTGGTCATGTTGTCAGAAGGGACCATTCCCTGGAGAAGGATGTCATGCTTGGTAGGGTGGAGGGTCCACGAAACAGGGGGAGGCCTTCAACGAGATGGATTGACACAGTGGCTGTGATGATGGGCTCAAGTATAGCAGGGATTGTGGGGCTGGCGCGGGATCGGGCAGTGTTTCTTTCTGCTGTGCATGGGTCGCTATGAGTCAGAAACGACTCGACAGCACTTAACAGCAACAACAACAGCATTGTAAAGTGAAAGAGCAAAAGTTTTGGTTTTAGGCATTCCCTCACAGCTGTGGGATCTTCAGCAAGTTACTTTGCCATTCTCATTTTAATTCCTTCTCTATACTTTGGAAACAATGGTAAATACCACACAGATGTGTTGAGCAGAATAAATAAGATAATATACATAAAGTATTTATTAATATGCAGGCCCTTCAGGGACTGCCTTGAATTACCTATTACTGATGACTTATTGAAGACTATAATAAGAGCTAGTTCTGTGGTAAAATATTTAACCAAATACTAAATAGGTGACTCACTGGAATAATGGAGTTTATTAAAAATACTTTAAAAGTCAAATATTCTCTAAGTTAATCACTCAATATTTGTGATTGAATGTTGAAACTTCTGATTGTTTTATAGTCATTCAAAACTCTTGTATCAACAAAATATTTTCTGTAGATAATAGTTGTTGATTAATTAAAGTGGATGTTTTAAAATTAAAAGTATTATCATTTGTTTTCTTGATTTTTGTTCACTTACTTTTAATCAATAAGGTTAAATCAGTTTAAGATACTTTGAATTTGTAATAATCTGCTTAAAATTGTGTAAATCTACTATGAAATTAAAGCTAGTTAATACTCAGTTTAGAAATCCAAAATTTTGTCCTTTTCTAGCCATAAATACAGCCCACTTTGATGACTTCATATAAGTTGTAGGACTTTTCCATGTGATTTTCCTATTGGTACTTCATCAGAAATAGATATTCTGACAGATATGAAATATTCCCATTTCTTCTCCTTTGTGAAGACCTCATTTTCACCTTGTATTTTTTCAATAACTATCAGAAGGAAGTAACCTCCAAACAATCTCTGACATGATAAGATTTCATGTATTTATTCTACTTCATAAGTAATCTTCCATATGCAAACTATCCAGATTTTAAAATTGAAATATGACATTTTTTTCTTAAAAATGTTTCTTTAGTAATGAATACATAAGAGTTAAATTCTCATCCTAAATACATATTAATAAATTCTTCCTTGGGTTTGTGATATGTACTGAGTACCTTATGTATGTCCAAAGTTGAAGAGCATTTCACTTATTTTCTCAGATCCAGTACTAAACTGTCTTGTGATTGCTTTCTACCTACAACTAAATTACTCTCATAACAAAATTACGTTTATCATTTTAAAACAAGATAATGCAGGGAAACAAATAATGCTTCCCTCTTGTCCTGTTTTCCACTTTTCACTAGATCCTTTATGCTTCTGGGAAGATCTACATGATATTTTTTGTTGTGGTAAGTTTTTGGTTTGCCTTTTATTTGGCAAGTTTGTTCTTGAGCATACTTGCTATGGCCTATGAAGAAGAAAAGCAAACACATACTGAAAAAGCTAAGAAGATTGAACCAAAGTATCAACAGACTTTAAAAGAACTTCAAGAAGGAAAAGGAGCAGCTAAGGTATAATCATTTTTTCATACTTCTTAAAACGACAGAGGTATCGTTTAAAGATCTTGGAGTGTATTGGCTTCTGCTGGTTGTTCAATATTTGTGTGTAGCGTATGATCAGAAGATAAAAATTGATTTCTATAAAAGGTATCCCTTTTGCTACACATCATTCTTTCCTTAATGCACTTTGGTGGGAGGTACCAGCATCATTAGAGATTTTTTTTTTTTTTTATGTACAGGATTTTTTATTCCAAAAAGTGTGAATTTCTACTGATAATAAACTATGAATATAATTTTTAAAAATTAAATCCATTCTTCATAGAAGGATAAAATTATAGTATTAGAAGGATAAAATTATAGTATTAAATGTAATCGTAAAAATTGTAGAAAAAATTATTTTATTGGCTTTCTAGTTTTTCCAGAGGATCATGATGTCCTTGTGAAGAATTATCTGTGGAATAATTAAATCCATAATTAGTAAAACTTAATAAGGTTTTACTGTGATTTTCAAATACTTTTGTACTGAGTTTGATTGTATTTTTAAACGTTTAGCTTAATAGCAAAATATTTAGTATACAAATCTAAAAGTATTGACAGAATTTCCATTAGGGAAGTTGTGGAAAATCTTTAAAAATCAAAATTGTGGTGCAAGTGTGCTAAAATGAAGAACAGTACTGAGGAAAACAGCCAGTAGTAATTTTTTTATGTCTTCAGGACCTTGCAACCTCACACCTCTGCTTGGAACCCACCTGTTTTGGTAGATGGAAAAAGAATGGAATTTGAGACAAAGAACAAAGAATATTAAAAAATATTAAAAAAAAGAGAGAGAAAATCAAATCCATTGCCCTGGAGTCAATTCTGACTCATCGATGGCCACTCCAAATGTTACAGAATAGAATTTCTCCCTACTTTCGTCTTTCCTCTGTGCACTGCTGGGTGGGGTTGAACCACCAATCTTTAGTTTAGTGCAAATGATTTGTGCCACACGAAGACCTTGACAAAGGTATAATGGGGTCACAGTCAGGACCCTCATGTAAAAAGAGGACAGAAAGGGCTGAGGAAAATAAAGGACCAGAACAAATCCTGGCACTTAGTGGAATGTGTTATGAGGCTGACTACATGGTTCAATAATACCAAAGGTCTTATTTGTGTAGAAAAAAGGAAAAATTTTAACTTCCCTACATGTATAACCATTTTATTAATTCAAATATCAATGGCATAGCTCTAGAAAAGTCATTCTACCAAAAAAAGGAGTCTGAATGACATAATGTAAGAGCATACAAAACGAGAAGTTATTGATAGATACTAGTGTCTACAAGGTCCATAGCATGCATACCAATGAAACAAAAAACAATTATAGGCTGAATGAAGAAAAAAATTGTTTAAAAAGAGGCTATTGAGTATCGCTGTGGTATCACTCATGAGTAAGTCACAGAAAAAAAAAATTACAAAAGGTTTCTTTCTCTAGCAGTGAGTCTGGGGTCCTTCAGATTGAGTGAATGGATGGGGTCTGAATGATGTGTTGAATGTATAATTTGTTCTGAAGTGACATTTCACAATTTCAAGGACTTAGCACTACACACAAATGTATCCAGGAAGACAACAATACTTCTATTATCCCCAAATGAGATACCCTATTAACTCTGCCTTTAAAGAACTTTAATTATTCCTAATTTCCAAATATCTCCATTCATTTTACTGTTTCTAAATCACATAATTTTTTTCTGATTCTAATTAAAAATATTCCAATTATAAAGGATTTCCCCCCCCCCCACCGGAAGTGCCCTAGAACATTTTGTGATGCAGAAGTTTTCCGGGAAACGAAACTTCAAATCATTTCCACATGATTTATCTAATTTTGTGTTATTATTTATACATAGAAAACACTTAGGAGAGAGAAAAGAAGAAGAAGAATTTAAAATCAAAATTAGGACTCTTTAGGTGACTGATCTAAAACTATTAAGATTCCAATTCCTTGTTGCAATTGTAGAGGAATTGCTTAGATGTAGTATTATAGCAAAGACGTTGTTGTTGTTGTTATGTGCCATCGAGTCGGCCTCGACTCATAGCGACCCCTCCTTGGGTTTCCGAGGCAGTATCACTACGGAAGTAGGATTGCCCAACCTTCCTTCCAAGGAGTGGCTTGTGGGTTTGAACCGCCAGCCTTCTGGTTAGCAGTCAAGTGCTTTAGCCACTATGCTACCAGAGCTACCAGCAAAGACATAGTTTATATAAAATAAAAACATAATTTTTCAGCAAGGTAAATATAGATTTTGGTCTACTTTAGCCATTTACTAAATGTAAGATGCTTACCAAATCCCTTAAACTCACCAATTTCCTGTTTTCTCATCTGTAAAATTTAAATGCCTGTAACATAGTTTGCTGTGAGGTCCAAATGAAATAAATTCATATAAAGCACTTTATACTGAGTAACTTAAAAAAATGTTACAAAGAACTATTGGTAAAGTCATATAACATGTCAATGTTATATGTTATATTAACGACACATTAACTATCACCCTTAGTAGTCTACATTAAGACTATTTGATCTTTATAAAACGAAAGTATTTGTCTTCAAATAAACTCACATAATCCTAAATCATCTTAACACCTCCTATGTTATAAAGGGTGGCAAGTGATGGAACTCAGAAAGATTTCTAGAGGTAGGAATCAACATTTTTAGTAAGGTTATATAACTTCTTATAGCTAAAATATTTGATCTGCAAAGGGCAGAAGCCGGTATTATTGGTGCTGTTGTCTGACCTCAAGTCGATTGCAACACACAATGACCCTATAAGACCAAGTAGAACTGCCCCAAAGGGTTTCCAAGGACGTAATCTTTACAGAAGTAGATTTTCACATCTCTTTCCTGTGGAGCATCTGGTGGATTTGAACCTCTGATATTTTGGGTAGCAGCCAAGCACTTAAGCTCTGAGCCAGCATGACTCCTTAAGTCAGTATTGTTGTTGTTGTTGTTGTTATGTGCCATTTTCAGACCAAGACCACACAAATAGAAATGAAGAAAATATCATCAACTACTATGAGCACATCTGTGGATATGTTGGATGATGCTACTCTCAGAAATAAAAAAGGTAAGTCCAAAAATATTTAAACAATATGCAAGGTATTACCATTGATGAGATGAACTTTTAAAGAAATCCTGCAATTTCTTCAGAATTTTAGATGACAGTAACAAAAATTGAAGGAATAAAGTGAGAATATTGAAAAGAACAATACATAAGAATTTTGTAAGCATAGTTTTGTAAATACTGGAAGGGCCACCAAAAATGACCAAGGAATTGTCTTTGTTTAACATTAAAAACAATATAGAAGTATAACTTGTGACTACAAATAGAGTTGGAGTATTTTCAGAGGTCCTTTCTAAATTTGACTGTGTCTTTTTATATATAACCAGCAGATTTTTATCCAGGACAATATTGAAAAGCATTATTATTTTAAAGCTTACAAATCTTGAAATGATAAATCATTTTCTCAACTACAATCCCTATTTTTTTCCTTGAGAGATATTGCTTAGTTTTGCTTCCAATCCACTGTTTGCCTCAGGAAGCATGAACAAAATAGAGGAAATGTACTCAGTTATATTTTTTACTAATATAGCATTTTTCAACTTGCTAATTTTGAATCAGAAATCTATTTTCAAACTTCCCTTTGCATTCAAAAAATCAAATATTTTTTAATTAATTAAGAACTAAAGTAAATAATATGCTAACATTTAACTTTTCTATTTTTCCTTTCAGAAGTTAAAGATTCCAGGAAGAAATGTCCTTTTTGTTGCTATAGATTTGCTAAAATTTTCTTGATCTGGAATTGTTCTCCCTGTTGGTTAAAATTGAAAGACTTTATCCATATGATTATAATGGACCCATTTACTGATCTTGCTCTTATCATATGCATAATTTTAAACACACTATTTTTGGCATTGCAATATTATCCACTGAGTGTGAAAATGGACAATGTTCTCGCCATTGGAAACATGGTAAAATGCTAACAGCATTATTTTCATTGTTATTTCAACTTCTCTTTAGTTATCATTATCTCTATGATTTAATTTTATAATTCCAATATCTTGCAATTGCATTATATTAGGATTGAATGAATATATTAGGATAGGATAGGATGAAATATTAGGATAGGATTAGGATTGGATGAAGTGTTAATGCTCCATCCCACACACACACACACACACACGCACCTTTATAACTATTCTTATCATTTTATAATTTTATAGCTAGAGGTCTGCCATTTGGTTTTCAGCCAGTTACTCTGTAGACTATAAGTGGAAATTACAGTAAAACTTGTGGAAACTGGAACCTGTATAAGGCAGAAATTTGTCAGACACAAAAATATTTTCCACTAAAAGAAGTGATAAAAAAGAGTTAATGCTACACCCTGTCAAAGGCAGAAACCTTGCAAGACCTGGAAAAACAAGGCAATTTCTCCTCAAGTTCTGGCTGTCATAGATTTCAGTGTATGCCCTAAACTCACTTATTGACTATTTCATTAATGGACATTTCACATTTACAACAATAGTAAAAATCTTCTGTCCAACTATTTTGTGCATTAAAAACATACATCAATCACAGACGCCAAGATGAGAGGCGAGAGAAACACAGGCTGTGATGGCTAAGGTTATGTGTCAATTTGCCTGGGCCATGATTCTCAGTGCTTTGGCAGTTACGTAACGATCATTTTGTGACCTCCTGTGGTCATCTTCCAATTTCACATAGTGTCCATTTTCACATAATGACCCATCTTTGGAACCTAAGTATGTTGATAAGTGAGGAAAGGATATATTTATTGCTCCCTACTTTCCCAAAAATATACTCTCTTGGTATTAGAGCCATATAGATCAGGGAAGGGCACAGGTGAAATAATGGGCACAAGTTCTTCACTGATAATGGGTCCACAATCTTGATAGCACAAGCAACTGCCCCTGTGTCTTCTAACCTCCTGTCTTGAGTATTTCATTTTGACAAGGAATGTTTGAGATTCATTCACCTTGCTTTCACGTACAATGAAAAAGATAAAAACAGATTTCTGTGACTTTAAAATCAAACCACATTCAAGAAAACACATACTGTTTCATTTTCTCTGATTTTATTGTTGCTGCTGTTCCTTAGTTGCTTAGTAATAATTTAGTACTAATAATAACAGGTTGACTGTTTAATCAAACTGCTGCTGGTTTTGGATGATATGTTTACTTGTTAATAAAACAGTAATTTAGTTATTTCTACCAGTATAGTTTCAAAAAAAAAAAGTTTCTGTATGTTTACTCTGTCTTTACCTTCATAGTACCATTTTTATACTCTCCCAAGATGAAAAATTAAATTATATTTCTTAACAGGTACTCCATATCTCAAAAGTAACTATTTGAACTGGAAAGATTTTTACCCTAAAATATTCTTTTGCTTTCTTCCAGGAAGGCTTTTATTAAACTAATGAAAGATTCAGTATAAAGTATTTCACATTAGATTGTTAAATAAAGTGTAGGAATCTGTCCCTGTAACACAGCCCCCAAAACTAATCAGACCTTGACTGAGGAGCATTGAAGAATGAGGCATTAAATAATTAGTTTCTCTGAGTCAGGGCTATGATGGAGCTATTGGAATCACTTATTCACTCATGTGTTTTGTTTTTATATAGGTTTTCATTGGAATTTTCACAGCAGAAATGATTTTTAAAATAATTGCTATGCATCCATATGGGTATTTCCAAGTAGGTTGGAACATATTTGATAGCCTAATTGTGTTCCATGGTTTAGCCGAACTTTGCCTAATGAATGTTAGAGGATTTGCTCTTTTGCAACCATTCAGTCTGGTAAGTAGACTCCAAGACCTTCTGTTATAATGTATCTCAGTTCCTCAGACATAAAGTAGAAATAATAGTAATGCCTACCACATTGAAATACTGGGAAGATTAAATGAATTAATTTGTGTATGACAAGCTTAGAAAGCACTCCCAGAAATAGTAAACATTATCCATTCACTTTAGCTACTCTATGTTCTACAAGTTCCAGAGACTCTTCTGACATCCAATTTTTTTTCCTTTTCCTGTATTTTTAATGGCCTTTTGCCTTCTTCATGTATGATGTTCTTGATATCATCCCACAACCTGCTGTTCAATGAATTTAATCTGTTCTTCAGATGGTCTCAAATTTTGGTGGGATATAATCAAGATCATACTTTGGATTGTGTGAACTTGTTTTCATTCCTTCAGCTTCAATTTGAATTTGTGTATGAGCAGTTGATGGGCTGTTCCACAGTCAGCTCCTGGCCTTGTTTTGACTGATGATATTGAACTTCTCCATCACCTCTTTCCACAGATAGAGTCAGTTTGATTCTTGTGTATTCCATCTGGGAACGTCTATGTGTATAGTCATCATTTATGTTGTTAAAAAAAGGTATTTGCAATGAGTAAGTCATTGGTCTTGCAAAATTCTGTTACGTGCTCTCCAACATAATTTCTGTCACCAAGGCCATATTTTCTAACTACTGATAATTCTTCTTTGCTTCCAACATTTGTGTTTAAATCACCAGTAATTATCAATACATCTTGATGGGATGTTTTGTCAATTTCAGACTGCAAAAGTTCATAAAAAATATTCAATTTCCTCATCTTTGGCTTTAGTGATTAGGACATAAATTTGAATAATAGTAGTATTAACTAGTCTTTTTTAACAGGTGCATGGATATTATCCTTTCACTGACAGCATTGTACTTCAGGATAGATCTTGAAATATTCCTTTTGATGATGAATGTGATGCCATTCTTCTTCATTGTGTCATTTCTGGCATAGCAGACCATATGATTGTCTTATTCAAAATGGCCAATACTAGTCCATTTCAGCTCACTGAACCCTAGGATATCTATTTTTTATGCATTCCATTTCATTTTTGACAGCTTCCAATTTTCCTAGGGTCATACTTCATACATTCCATTTTTCAATGTTTAATGAATGTTTGTAGCTGTTTCCTTCTATTTGAGTCATCAGGAAATGAAGGTACTGAAAGCTTTACTCTATCCACATCATTAAGGTTGATGCTGCTTTGAGGAGGCAGCTTGTGGTAGTTAAGATTATGTGTCAATTTAGCTGGGCCTGGTTTTGAGTGGCTGGGCAGCTGGATGTGGTTATTCCCCATGATGAGACTGGTAATCAATTGCATGGTGTAGTCTACTGGAGCAGATGAATAACTGGTCTGCTTCCAGTATATAAAGAGAAGCATTGAGAAAGGTCTACAACTTTTGGCACACTTGAATCCTGCATGTAGCCGAGTCATCATTCAGCAACTTGCCATGTTGTCTGCTGATCTTGGAACTGTCAGTGAACTTGAATTAGTGGTCTGCTGTTTGGTTTGATAATTTTGGGACTATGCTTTTCTACTTGTCAACCTTGGGTTTACCAGCTTCAGCAGCCAGCAACAATCTGAGTTAAGAAAACCTCTAGCTCCAGTGGGCTGTTGTTGTTGTTGTTAAGTGCCGTTGAGTCATTTCTGACTGATAGCGACCCCATGCACAGCAGAACGAAACACTGCCCGATCCCACGCCAGCCCCACAATCCCTGCTATACTTGAGCCCATCATCGCAGCCACCGTATCAATCCATCTCCTTGAAGGCCTCCCCCTCTTTCATC